GGTTAACTGTGTCAAAAGCAGCAGACAGATCCAGCAAGATGAGTACTGAGGATTTGGAAGCTGCTCTTGCTAGTCTCAGGGCTTCAGTAACCGAGAGCAGGGCAGTCTCAGTTGAGTGGCCGCTTTTGAAGCCAGATTGGTTGCTGTTCAGGAGGTTGTTCTCTGCAAGAAACATAGAGAGTTGGTTGAACACAACTCGCTCAAGTGTCTTTACAATGAATGGAAGAAGGGACTACGGTCTGTAGTTTTCTAAAAGTGCTGGATTTAGAGAGGGTTTTTTAAGCAGTGGGCTTACCCGAGCCTGCTTAAATGTTGTGGGAAATGTACCAGTGTGAAGAGAGGTGTTGATAATGTGAGTAAGCGAAGGTATGACTGAAGAAGAAATGGCCTGAAGGAGGTGAGTGTCATAATTGATCTCAAATGAGATACTAAGTCATAATTATGACGTAAGTTGACAAAGTCGACATTATGATATAAAAAGTCCAAATTATGAGAAAAAAAATCCAAATTATGAGATACTGAGTCATAATTATGACGCAAGTCAAAATTATGACAAAACAGGCAAAAGTTTGATATAAGAAGTCGTAAAAAAGTTAAGAAAAAAGTTGAAAATGAGATTCTAACATAAAAGGTTAAGATTATGAGATACTATGTTTTAATTATTTCTTAAGCCAAAATTATGACAAAAAGTCATTACAGTAGAAATTCTGAGGGGAAAAAGGTCAAAGTTTTGACATTTTAATTTCTGATTATGACAAACATTAAATATTTTTATATGAAAAATCATGATTATGATGTACAAAGTCGAAGTTGAGAAAAGTCAAAGTTAAGAGATTGTAATAATTATGACATAAAAAGTCAAAATTATGACATACTGAGTCATAATTATGAAGTCAGTCAAAATGATGAAAAAAGCAAAATTTTGATATAAGAAGTCGTAATTATGACACAAAGTTGAAATTATGAGAAAAATGTCAAAAATTTGAGATACTAACATAAGTTAATATAAGATACTATTTCATAATTACAAAATATTTAAATTATGATATAGTCATTATGGCATACAAAGTTTGAATAATGAGGAAAAGTCAGCTTTGAGATACTAATTCATAATTATGAAAAAAGTTACAAATTATTATATGAAAAGTCATGAAAATGACATACAAAATTTAAATTAAGAGAAAAAAATCAGAATTGAGATGCTTAGTGTCTCTTGTTATGCCATAACTATTACTGTCTTAATTATTACAAAAGTCGTAATTATGACATAAAAAGCCATAAATATAGCATAAAAAGTTAAAATGATCATTTGAAATTGACATAAAAAGTCGTAATTGTGACATAAATTCTGACCTTTTAATGTCATAAATAGGAGTTTTGTCTAATAATTGACATTTTCTGTCATGATTTTTATATCATTATTGTGATTTTGTCATAATTTTTATTTTTATGACTTTTTATATCATAATCATGATTTACCGAAGCATTTTGTTTTTCTTTTTTTCTTATGTGGCAGAAAAGGACTTTCACACAAACCCGTCTGACTTTTAACATAAAATTAGATCCTGAGTTTGATTCCCAGTGAATGCATGAGCTGATGTAGTTTGAATGCAATGTAAGTTGCTTTTGATAAAAACCTCTGAATAATGAATAATGCAGCCGAGATGTCAGGCTGAAAGCTGAAGCTGCTGTCGCTTCATGCATGAAAATTAGAGGTGATTTATACTGTCAAACTCCAACAAGCATCATAAAAGTAGTTCATATGACTCGTCCGTTATAAGTCATGTGATCGTTCTGAATGACAGACAGACTGAAGTTTAAGTTATTGACTGAAAATCTCTCTCTCTGTTTGCAGTCAGATTGGAAAATGACGTCAGGTTTGGTGAAATGTCATTGGTTCAGGCGTGTGATGCAGCGCTTCATTTTCCTTGTGTTTAACTTTATTGCTTGAGGCTTCTGACGAGCTCCAGTTATTAGTAGGATTTGCTAAAACAAAGACCTAAAACTGTTTGCTGAACTGTTTGACAGTTTGCTAAATCTGTCAAGCACCACTTACCAGAAACCAGTGTTATTGGTAACTAAAACCATTAAAATCATTTTCGGTAATTGAAATAAAATGAAATGTAAATATTAGATGAAAAACTTAGAAATGTTGCCTTGGCAGCCAACTGAAAAAAGCAAGTTTAAGTTGAAGTACTAAAATTACTAAAACTGAAGTAAAACTATAAAAAAATATAGCCTATGTAAAAATATAAAAAAAAAAAAAAACCTAATAAAAATGACAGAAGCAAATAACCAAATCACTAAAGCTGAAATTAAATTAAGACCTGAAAATATAGAAATAAAAAGCTAATTCAAAATATTAATATATACTGTATTAGTAAATAAGTATAACATAACATTTTACTATTAAAATACGTCAGTTTTTTTAACATTTCTGTTGTGAGATGTATTGAGACTGTAGTATATATATATATATATATATATATATATATATATAAAGCTAATAAAAATGACAAAAGCACATAGCAAAATTACTAAAACTTAAACTAAAATTTAAATAAAACCTTTCAAAAATACAAAATTAAAAGCTAATTCAAAATATTAATAAATACTGTAATAGTATATCAATATTTTTTTTAAACGTTTCACTTTGGAATGTATTGAGGTTGTAATATAAAGAAATGTTTTTAAAAGACCAAGAGCTAAAAAAAAAAAATGACAAAGGCACATAAGAAAATTACTAAGATTAAAATAAAACATAAAAATATTACAATAAAAGCTAATTCAAAATATTAATACATTTTAAAATTGTATATAAATAATACAAAACATTTTAGTATTAAAATACTTCAGAGTTTTTAACATTTTGTAATGGGATATAATGAGATTGTAGTATCAAGAAATATTTTTTAAAAACCAAAAGCTAATAAAAAGAGAGATGAGACATGATGTAAACTAAAATTAAAATAAAACGTAAAAATATAAAATGAAAAGCTAATTCAAAATATGAATAAAGATGGTAGTTTTTATTAGAGCCCGACCGATATGGGTTTTTTGGGGACCGATATTAGCGAGTAAAAAAAGGCCGATATCGATATATCGGCCGATATTCTTTGTGTATATTATAGTACAGTACCAGTCAAAAGTTTGGACACTTTCTCATTCGTGTGTCCACACATTTGATTGTTACTATATATAGAATACAGTATATACATAAACAGAATATATATACATAAACACATTTTTTGCAATGATCACTCAAATGTGGTGATCAAACACTTATAATGATGTGACAAAGATATGTAATGGAGGCGGGGCATTTAACAATAAACTTTGTTAACGCGTCCGTATGCCCCCCAGAATCGGCAGATCGGTCAGCGCTGGACCCCGAATTTAACCGCCCGTAACTCCCGAACCCCATGGGCTATCGACGCGGGGGTGGTCTCATTCGAAAGGGGGCCTCTAGACGTACACTCGATTCGGCATTTGAGAGGGTTCCTCGAGCTGAAGGGATCCCCGAATTTGGTGCGGATCCGTCACGCCGTTACGGAGATATGGCCGTTCAAAGTTTCAATGGTATTCCATAGACTTAAGCTTTAAAGCGTTTCATCCAGGTCGCCAGTAGCAAAAACTGCTGAAAAAAGATGTGCATTGTTATGCTCTGTGGGCACTAGAAGAGTGTGTTTTGGGACAAGTATGTGTGTAAGGGACAAATCTCACTTATAAAGAACAGGACGATCCTGGAGAGATTCCATAGCTTGACTCAACACGGGAGGAATATCACATGTTTCCTGAGTCAACCCTCTGCAGTCATCTACAGACACCAAAGACAGAAAAAGAAACATCTATAAGGTCTCCTATAATACTAAAACACATAAATAACTTATTACATTTTTTTATTGTGTAACTAAAACATAGTACTAAAGTACTAAAATCATCATGTAAAACAGGAGTGTCGTTGGTCGTTCTGTGAACTATGAGTCAGTTTTCTGTTTCACATTCCCTGGCAGCAGCAACTGTGCTTATATTCCAGAAACTTCGCGTGTGTGCTGTGTGTGTGTGTGTGTCTGTGTGTGTGTCTGTGTGTGTGCGTGTGTGTGTGTGTGTGTGGTGTGTGTGTGTGTGTGTGTGTGTGTGTGTGTCTGTGTGTGTGCGTGTGTGTGTGTGTGTTGTGTGTGTAATGTGTATTTAGGCATCACAACATTTTATTGTACATGAAAAATGGATATTCATTTTGATTACATTCAGGTGTTTTTAAATTATTAGTGTTTTTAAAGATGATATTAAAGATGATC